TGATTCTATGGGGTGAGCCATGGGCTGAGATGATCACTGCCAGCACAAGGCAAGTTCACCACATGGTTCAAGGACAGCCACAGGTGAGTATTTCACAGAGCCACCCAGACAGCAAAACAGTGTCCCAACATGCTATGGACATGTTACACCATGGGATCCTCTGTGTAATGACAACAAACAGGGACCAGATGTTGTCCAAGATCAGTATCTTTGGGAGGACCTAACCTCTGGCTACAAATGTCAATCAGTGTGGCTGTCAACATTGCCAAGAATTTAAAAAGGAAAAAAAACAGCAAAAAAGCAGCAATTTTACTGTCTGAACATGCACTTCTTTAAAAAAATACAAATAAAATCAGTTTTTAGTAATAGAAAGTGAAGAAATCCAGACACTCTGTACTGAAACCAAACAAACATTAGGTACAGTGAATCTCATCACCAGTAGTAATTTATAAAAGCCAAGCAAGCAGCTATATAATTGTTTTAAGTAAGCTCTGACTTAAAGATGAAACTATATTTGAATTGAATATGGGGAGGGGGGAGGACATCATCCCTTTAAAGAAGATCCTTCGAGACATGTAACTGTAGAAAGGCTGGTGAATACAACATTGATTGGGAGTGAGGTAACCACAAACACCACTGTCTCAAATGAAAAGGGATTCAAGGTCTGCCCCAGAAAACAAGCATCGTAACCGCTGGGATGAAATTTTAATGATAAACACAAGATGCTCTGCATGCAGGCCAGATTGAATTATCTGATGTCAGCCAGTAAATGCAAGGCACTCGCAGAAAGGGGAGCTGTGAGCAGCCACCTTCAACTCACAGCTCAGGTTGCACTTAATCAATCCTTGATACTCTGCCATCTCCTGGCTTCAGCTTTGGCAGCAGCGTGGAGAGAGCAGGAGAGTGCATGGAATAGGTACATTTCTCTAAGGGAGAGCTTATCCTCTGGAGTTTATCTTTGCTTCCTTCACAAAATTAATAAAGGGATTCACTCCTCAACCAGTTCAGACAAACTGTGCCTCGATAAATCACACTTGTGGCTGCTGTCTGGAATCACTCTGCCCACAACCTGTACAAATTCCTTTTCAGAAAGATGAAAGAGCTCTACAGCAACTAAAATAAAAATTCTTCCACTTCCCAGCACAGTTTGAAGCAGAACAGTGCAGAATATAAGATCAAATCTATCGCAGCACAGGTTCAAATCAAATCTGATTCCAGGTTTGCTCCAAGACTCTCAATACACACCAGCCCCAGTATTTCTGCTGGGGAACTCCTCTCTCCACCCCTTTTTTAATTTTTATAATCATTCCCTGATCTCCCAAGATCCTGAGTTGGACATCCTGATACCAGGGAGCAGCTGCCATACAACTGCTATAGTTTCCAGCTCTGGAGTGTAACGCCTGGCTGGCCTGACCGTGCTGAGCCAGAGCACTGCAGCTGCTCCCCAAAGTCACACATCAACAGAGAAAACTACAAGGGCCAAAGCCCAACTAGAACTTAATCTGGATACTGCCATAAAAGACAATTAAAGATGTTTCTATATGTACATCAGTACCACAAGGAGGGATACGGAGAATCTTCATCTTTATTGGATTGTGGGACTGAGGGACTTAATGTATTCTTGTGCTCAGTCTTTAATAGTTAGATCAGTTGTCCTTGGGGTACCCAAGCCCTGAGCTGGAAGACAGGGACACGGAGCAGAATCAAGCCCCTGTAATCCAAGGGGAAGTGGCTGGTGACCTGCTCCACCACTGAGACACACACAAGTCTACGGGGCCAGAAGAGATAGAATGCTGAGGGAGCAGGACAAAGAGCTCACCAAGCCACTTTCCATCATTTACCAGCAGTCCTGGCTCACCAGGGAGGGTTCCCGGTAACTGAAGTAAGCAAATGTGATGCCCATCTGAAGATGGGCTGGAAGGAGGATCTGGGGAACCACAGGCCTGTCAGCCTGACCTCAGTGCTAGGGAGAGACATGGAGCAGAACACCAACAAGGTGAAGTGCTGGGTCCTATCTGTGGGTCACCACAATCCCATGGAACATTACAGGCTTGGGGAAGAGTGGTTGGACAAGGTGGACAACGATTTGGGGGTGCTGGTTGACAGCGGCTGGACATGAAGCAGAGTGTGCCCAGGTAGCCAAAAAAGGCCAAGAGCATCCTGGTTTGTACCAGCCACAGTGTGGCCACAGCTCCAGGGCAGTGCTGAGGCACCTCCAGTCCTGAGGGCAGTTCTGGCCCCTCAGGACAAGGACATTGAAGAGCTGGAGAGTGTCTAGAGAAGGGAACAAAGCTGAGGAAGGGGCAGGAGCACAAGTCTGATGAGAGGGAACTATGATCAAAACACCTGCAAAAAAGTGAGTGACCTTATTTTCCTCCAGTGGAACAACCTGACTATAGAGGAAAAAAAGGTCAGTGATGCCACTTAGAAAACCCCCAGGAAATGCCACACAATGCTGGATTAGCATTAGGATCAGCACCAACCTCTCAAGCCTTGCAAAGTCACACACCAGTTTAGTTTATACACAGGACAAGTCTGGCTGTAATCAATGATTACTCACAGGTAAAGCTAAGAACATAAGTGTTTGTGAAACTGGAGAGATAATCATTAAATGTAACAGATAATTGATATTTATACTGAGAAGAACATTGACTTTGTTAACCTCAGCTATTAAATTACTTCTTCAGCACTGAAAGAACACAACAGTTAGCTATTGATCACCAGATTCATTACACTTCTACGACAAATTTGAAAGCACAATGCCATTATGTACAATACTATAAGCTGGGAGAGAAAGGGGAGGGTTATGTTGGGATTTAAAGAAGAACAACAAACAACAAGACCCCAACAAATTCCTCTATCTTCATATCCTAAATACTTACCAAATGCACGTAACTAAGTATTTCCCTGCAAAATCTGCTCATATCCTTGGAAGTTTTAGCTATAACTTTAGGTCTGTCTTGTTGGATGTTCACCATGAGGTACTGTTGGGAGGTGCAACAGTATGCTGCTACTGCTTTGCAGGCTTTGATCATCACTGGCAGAACAACAAATTTGTCTTCTTTCAGGCAAAATTCACAGAATATTTTTCCACTCGCAGCAATTTAAGAGATGCTTTCAGAAATCTTGAGCTATCAGAGTGAAGGGCGAGCAGGAACCAGCAGAGGATGTAATAAAGCTGGTGTGTTGTGATATTCTAAACATTTTATTTACTAACCAGGTCAAACAGCTGAATTCTGTTGCTTTATCAAATAATATGCTTGTATCTTCATAAAATACTTCATTACTAAAATTCATTTTCTCAGAGAAGGGAAATACTGACAAGTAGCTTAAGTGAAACCCCTAACATTGCTTTTCCTGATGGATACACATGAGCAGCTTTTCCCCTCAGTGGTCTCTTGCCTTATTTTCAGGAGCCTTTCAGAAACCTGAATTATTTAATGGCATCACCTCCCTCCATGTGACTGATGCAAATTCACCCAAAGAATCAAGAGAGATTAGAGGAACTGGGGGAACCAACATGAAAAGAGTGTGTGAAACTATAAACCCAACTTCTGTAATACACCAGCTAAAACATGCGCCACTGGAGTTTAATATGCAGGATTAATGACCTCTGTTTATTAATACCTCAGATATGTAATTTATTCTGCATAACTTCTGTATATTGCCTGTTTGATTATAAACACAGTGGAAAAAAATGAAGAAAAACAAGAGCTGGAGGCTTTGGCAGCAGCATGGAGACAACTGCAGCTCCTGGCTCCCAGAAAAAGGTACAGGAGGTTTCATTAGAGACAGTGGAACAGATACAGTAGTGCAGAGCCCAAGCCAAGGCCAGGAAACACACTGCCCAAGCTGTAAGGCATGAGAGAAGTCAGGTTGCTATATCCACAGAGCTGCATCTCAGCTGTGCCCACAGCAGGCTGGAGCTGTGGTGCCTTTGCAGTGGCTCAAGGAACCCTCAGCATCAGGCAGGAGTCAAGGTAGGATCTGAGTCAAGGTAAGATCTGCATTCCTCTAGCTATGCTAATTCTTCAGGGCTCTTCCCATGGCCACTGTTTAGGTTAACCACTGTGTGGCACTGCCCCTCCAAAGGTCACAGACTACCCAGCTCTGCAGCAGAAGCATTTGCATTGCTCTAACACAGCCAATTACAGCAGCAAAACATCACGTGAAAAGCAGAGAAGGAGAAGCAATGGTCAAGAAACAGGATGGCAGAGCAAATAGAAAGGGAGAGCTGCAAACAGAGAAAGAAAACTAGTGGAAGAACATCTAGTAAAAGAAAAAATGAACACAAACCCATCAAAGATGGAAAATCCCCTTTCATTCCCAGTGTCTGATGGTTTAGATTTCTGCTCTCAGTTGCCCAAGAGCATTCAAAAGCATTTCCATGTGTATGAGATTTTTCAAGGCACCTTTCACAACCAGTCTGTGAATTTTATAGCATTTTATAAGCAGTTTGCTCTAATCCCACAATGTATAAGCACACCACCGACATGAAGTGCTACCATAAAATATGGGACTCATGGCATGTTAAGGACAATGTCCTCTGACTGGCCCAGGATGATAAAAATCATCTCACTCAAGTGACCTGCGAAGGGCTAATTACTGAACCTGTAAAATTCAAACTGAATACACCTATTGAGACAGTCACAATAACCTCTACCAAGAGTTTGCGGGGAGTTCTTATAAGAGACTTCTAAGAACTTTCTGGGTGCTTCCACAGCAAAATAGTACATACAGTTCATCAGAAAGCACTAGAGTCTTTACAGGGACTACACGTGCATGAAATAGCTTTTTCAGAAGTAAAATAAAAATTTGCACTGCTGAAATAACTTGTAGCAACCATCATTATCAGTCACTTAAGGACAGTCTGCCTCACCCACACAGGAACTGCAGTCAGATAAATCCATCCTTGTTGCCTCAAACAGGTGTTGCTAAAAGCAGCGCATGAGATTTCAGGCAGTGAAGGTGCAGTGAGCATTGCACACCCTGGTACTCACCCAGCAATAACAACTCCATCGCAGGAATCGACGTCACAGAGGATCTTCCCCAGCTCGTAGCGCAGCTGGCTCACAGCTCCAATGCGGTTCTGTGCACACACCACAGGATCATTGGAGTTGGAAAACACCTTTAAGATCACCAAGTCCAACTGTCCACCCAGCACTACCACTGTAACCCCTAAACTGTATCACCCAGGGTCAGATCCAGACACCTCTGAAACACCTCCAGGGATGGTGACCCCAACACCTCCCTGGGCAATATTCCAGTGCCTGAACATCCTAACAGGGAAAACATTTCTCCTGACATCTCCTCTACCTCTCTCCCCTGTCTCAGCTCAAGGCCATTCCCTCTAGTCCTTTCCCTGCAGCCACGGCAGAAGAAACCATCCCTTACCTCCCTCCAAGCCTTGTCAGGGAGTTGGAGATAGCCATGAGGTCACCCCTGAGTCTGTTCTCCAGGCTAACCAAACCCATCTCCCTCAGCCCTTCCCCATGTCCTCTAGGCATCTCCTCTACCTCTCTCCCCTGTCTCAGCTCAAGGCCATTCCCTCTAGTCCTTTCCCTGCAGCCACGGCAGAAGAAACCATCCCTTACCTCCCTCCAAGCCTTGTCAGGGAGTTGGAGATAGCCATGAGGTCACCCCTGAGTCTGTTCTCCAGGCTAACCAAACCCATCTCCCTCAGCCCTTCCCCATGTCCTCTAGGCTTTTGCTGCCCTCGTTGCCCTTGGCTGGTCTCGTTCCCGCAATGGCCTTGCCTTTTTGCAGTGAGGGCCCAAAGCTGAGCACAGCACTGACGTGTGACCTCCCCAGTGCCGAGTCCAGGGGGATGGTCACTGCCCTAGTCCTGCTGCCACACTGGTCTTGACATGGGCTGATATGCCACTGGCCTTCTTGGCCACCTGTGCACACTGTTGGCTCACACTGAGCCGCTGCCAAGCAGCACTCCCAAGTTCCTTCCTGCTGGACAGCTCTCCAGCCACTCCAGCCTGTAGCACTGCAGGGGGTTGTTGTGTCCCAAGTGCAGAACCAGCACTGAGCCTTACTGATATTCATTAGCACAGGTGTTGGTATTACCACTCATTCACCCACCAAGTGAATTTGCTGCTTGATGGAAAACTCTGAGCTTTGCTATTGCTGCTGACAAGCTGCAGTACAGCTGAGAGAGAAGGCACATCCCTGCTTACCTATCCCATAAATCCTTCAGCAGCTTTCCCCTTTTAACTGCAATACACGAGACCAACGTTTCATTCCCACTTACTTGAACCAGGTTCCCATTTTTCTACAGCATCTGGATCCCATAAAAGAAATTCCTTTACCTTCCAGTTGTGTTTCAACGTGCGCTCTCTGGCCTGGCAGTTCTTGAGGGCAAGTTTCCAACAGGAATGTTCAGAGATGCTCATATCCAACAGGTATCCTTCCTCTTGGCACAACCGGTACCACAACACTTCGTCCTCTGCCAGTATTTTCCATGTCTTGCTGACCTAGGAATCAATTTATATATACGTATATCTTGTAAATGTATAAGCAAAAAATGTCTTTAATATAAAATGATTTAAATAGCATCTGAAATATAAACATTTAAATGAATCTAGGCCTGCACTGAGACAAATTCTTACCTAAACAAATATATCTGTTCAACCTTTATACTACTGAGCATATAAAAGCCCCCCAGCTATAACAAACTGCTTGTTTGCTGGGGGTTCTTCTGGAAATAACTGAGTTTCTACTCCATTAAAACTCCATGCAGGATGGACACCAGTTTAGTGACCACACAACCAATCAGTGTACTGGAAAATCCTGAAGGGAAAAAAAGCAGGAAAACAATTAAGGCAGCACTGTAAGCTTAGAACAAAAATCTGCATTTATTTTCCTATTTGTAGCTAAGAAACCCTCTCAGATCACACCACCACATCGCTAAAGTCCTACTGACAATGCCTGATTACGGCTATGACATTAGTGATTTATAACCTATTGTATTACAGTATGCATAAATAGGAATGAATTATTAAGTTTTTCAAGCAGCCTCAAGTTGCTGTCCATTTCAGAGAGAACAGCTTCATCACAATCAATTGTGGGCTCAGAATTAAAGATTCAAGAGGTAAGAGCCAACTTAAGTAGCATTTGTTCTCGGTAATTCTTGATTTAAAAAAACAGACGTAAGCAATGAAGACCAGTGAAAGCAGCAATCAATTGAGCACTGTTTCAAAAAAGATTAAAACAACCTGCTGAGACTGACATCATTTTTAGCAACTTACAATTAAGCATCTAATGTCCACTTCAATCCCAAGATTACACCAAGAATCACAGTCTGCCACTGACACAAACTCTCCCAGGACCATCTCTTCGTGTTTACTTGCCATGCATCCCACGTTTACACACAGACAACATGGCACAGGGAGGTGAAAGATGAATTATTACTTGTTGTCCATTTTATAAGATTAATCTCTTTTGTCTTTTATCATTACCACACACACCGTGCTTCAAACCTAAAACCACAGCTTTCAAACCCAAAGTATAGCTTCTCAAAACTTTATCTCATGAGGAATAAGCATCAGATCCCTTGGGCTGATTGATTTGCACAAGTCCATGCAAAACACAAGCTGTTGGAGCAGCAAAGCATGCAGTGAGGCTTATGGAGAGGTTAGGAAAACAACATCCCTGGCCTTAAATAAATCAAGGAATCTCACAGCGTGTCATGTGAGCTGTAAAATTTAAATGTGATGACTGCCTGCTGTAGTAAATGCAACAGCAGGCCAAGAGTGACCAGTCAGCCCAACCCAAACAAGACAGGGAGATGATAGCTGAGGTCCAGAGAGCACCCAGAAATGTGACCCTGAGTCCTACAGGACTCCTTGGGTCACTGCAAGTGCAAAAAGATCTTACAGACATAGTCCCAAACCTCCTGCATACTGTGTAGTCCCCTAGCAGTGCAATCAACAGCATCGATCTCCCCTTGAAAACATCACGAAGCTTCTAGTTATCTTGTCTAACTTGTGTTGTCTGTTGGTCTTGCTGTAAAGACACACATCTATCATCACTGCTCTCAAAAACTCAGAAGGAAGCAAGAAGTACATCACAAGATGTATCTCACAACCTTTTTCCTGCATGGTAAAGGGAAAAAGTAGTTTAATATGAAAAAAGTGGTGATCTGAGTAACCTGCAAATGCTTGTAAGATTTGATGCCTACATACAGGAGCAGTGCTCAAACAGGAATATCCAAGTGCAGCAAAACACATATTCTACTTAACCATTATGAGACCTCACTGCAAACCAGCAGACACAGACACTCCCCTTCCATCCTCTGACAAAGAAAACAACCTGGACAAGGCAATCATAATGCCTTAAAAAGACACAAACAGCACTGAGGCTTCTCTAGGCATATATATCACACTATAATAAAAAGGCAGTGCTTAGTGCTCCTGTCCCTATAGGGTCACTCTCGGAAGTTCAAAAGCAACAAGAAGCAATCCAAAATGCAAACCATTCCAGTTCAGTGAGGAATTTGCTCTCAATTTGATTTCAAAGTAATATAAATACATATATTATTGCTCAAAGAACAACAAACCCCCAAAAAACCACCCAGCCAGCTTTTTGCTGACACACCAAAAGAGCAGCTGTGGTGCAGGAGTGGAGCTCCCTGGCCAAGCACCTCTGCCCCCATCCCAGAACAGCAGCACGTTTCTGCTGACAGCGAGGGGACAGGCTAAGCACACACAGAGGCAAACACAGCCAAACCAGCTCTTGCCTTGCTTTAAAAAACAAAAACAAAAAATAAACACACACCTTTGCAGTCTGCCAAAACAGACAATATTGTACAGACCTTTCAAGATTCAAGGTCTTAAAAGCATTTTATAAAGACAGTAAAACAAAAGAAAAGGGGGGGAACTACATAAAACTGAGACTGCCTTTGCAGCTTGCAGGGCAAATAAAGATCCTATCCTAGTCTGATTTTTTTTTCAATCAAATTACATCAAATCCTGCTGCTTTACAAGCCTGGATTTCCAAAGGGTCCCTAACACAGCCTTTTCTTACAGCCCCCAAACTAGCATGCCAATCCCTTGTAAAAGCCCCACTGAGTGAGCCTCAGCTGCACAAAATCGCTAATAAAAGAGTCTCAAGCATTTCACTTTACAGCACCACTGTGAGCTGCTGCATTAAAACCAGCCATTGGCTCCAAGTCAGCTTTATTGGATGTGCTTGACTCAGACTTTCAGGTGAGGCCCCAAAAGCCAGAGTGTTACAGCTTTATTTCTACACACCCATACATTCTGCTTGTTGGAGAGGAGCTGAGATGTGCAAAGCTCTTATTAAACTACAAAGATAATTGTTTCCAAATCTACACTATGCAGAAACTCCAGCAACGATCAATGGCAACATCTTACAGAGCTGTTTATAGATTTAGAGTCCTCCATTTAATTTTCTCTTTAGCGTTCCTATTATCTTTTTACTACAGTACTCGACTGTTCTCAGCAAAGAAAGTTTGGGTTCCCCTGAGATCCACACAGGAACAGTTTTATATCTTATAGTTCAGCAAGTAATAATGTTCTGAAGGACTTCAAAGACTTTTGCTGACATAAGCTTTGCTGTTTGAGTTTGTCTGTGAGGGATTTTTTTCACCCTAAAAAGCCCCACCTCTTCCATGAAATCCTAAATTTCTTCTAATCCCATCTAAATCAACTGGCTCAAATCCTAATGAAGGTTTATTCATCCCTCTCCATCTGATAACCATTCTTGTTTCACTAGGTTTGTTTTCTTCCCCAGACACAAAAAGACATAGTCAAGGCTCACTTGCCCAGGCCAAGGGGCCTCAGTTAAAACTGTCTGGATTTCAGTTCAGTTCAGTGCAATATGTAGCACCAAACATTATTTAATCCAAAGCTGCTCAGATGGAAGCTGCTCCTCTTGTCAATTCACAGCCATAACGATAGAATCATCCCAGACTCACAGAATGGTTTGAGTTGGAAATGACCTTCAAGACCACCCAGTTCTAACCCCCTGCCGTGGGCAGGGAAACGTTCCACTAGCCCAGGTTGCTCCAAGCCCTGTCCTACCTGGCCTGGAACACTCCCAGGGATGGAGCAAACACAGCTGCTCTGGGCAACCTGTGCCAGTGCCTCACCACCCTCACAGGGATTAATTTCTTCCCAATATCCCGTCTAACTCTGCCTTGTCCCAAGTCCCTCTGCAGCTCTCTTGGAGCCCCTTTAAGCACTAGAAGGGCCTCTAACGTTTCCCTGGAGCTTCTCTTCTCCAGGCTGAACACCCCAGCTCTCCCAGCTTGGCTCCATGGCAGAGGTGCTCCGTCCCTTGGAGCATCTCCATGGCCTCCTCTGGACCTGCTCCAGCAGCTCCAGATCCTTCTGTGCTGGGGACCAGAGCTGGAGGCTCAGGAGCTCAGGTGGGTCTCACCTGAGTGGGACAGAATCCCCCCCTAACCTGACGCCCATGCTGTGGGGAAGAGGCCAGCAGACTTAAGAATTAAGTCTCCCAGAGACTTAATTTAAGTCTCATCCTGAGCCCAGAGTATCCTTATCCATCCATTTCTCTGCTCTCTCTCTGAATTATGAGGAGTATGGATGACTGTTTTTACCCGTATACAACCTTGACACAAAAGCATGCTCCAAAAAATACATGAGATTTTCTTTTTTTAGCTGTATAAACACTGAAAGCTTAACAGTTTGACAATTCCAGAAGCCCTCGAGGCAAGCAGCTGAAATTCTTGATTTATGCAAGACAATTCCTTCCTAAATTCCTAGAAACAGTCTCCCTTGCCCTAGATACATAAATTGCTCTGTTGGTAAACACTTTTAAACCTTCTCTCAGATGAAAACCTAACAGGTCAAGGGAATTTCCCACTGATTTGTTCAGAAATAAAACTACCTCAGCACTGCCAAAATTCAGTACTACTGTCCACAAACATTTCACACCACAAAATGCAATTCAAGGAGTCTCTGTGTTTAGGATGTATCACTAGTATTTACTAGAAAGCAATAACTGGAAGTCTATGGAGAAGTTCACAGATGAGCTCTATCCTCTTAGGACAAAGCTGACAGTCCAAGTCCAGGCCAGGTCCTCAGGCCATGTCCCCATGCACAAAATCAGCCCCAAATAACACAAGAATTTCTACTGCATTGCAGTTTGTCACACTTGTAGATTCCCACAGGAATGTTTTACTTTCCCCTCTACATCACACCAGGATGAAAGAGTGACTGATCTCAAACCCGCTCATACTCACAAGAGAGGTGCTCACAGCAGATATTTCTGTCAATGATCAGAACATAATCAAAAGGTGTTCACAGGGCTGGCACATAGCAAAGAGAAAATTTTGCCAGAACTCTGGTCTCTTCTGCTGATACAGTAAGCCCTGGGTACCTTTCTCCTTGAATTACAAACATGGACTATCAACAGGGACTGGTCTGCTGGGTGCTACTCAATGTCACCCACTCTGAAACCACCTGAGCTCAGGAACTGAGGACACTGTTGATTTACACACTGCACGTGGCTTTTGTATCCCCAGTGCTATGCAGATAGTTTGTGTTTTATAGTACTAATCCCAAAGATCAAAGAAAAGCTGTGGGGGAGCAAGAGAGGAGGAAATATCAGGGTAAAAATCAAAGTTCTCTAGACAGTCTGTGGTATGATTACATCTCAAAGGGGCTCTGCAGTCAGGCTACTTTACTGTTAGTTGGTTACCAATTTGGCATAAAGAACTAAGCAAACAGGTTTTCTCCAAAGGCACTCACATGGATCATGATGCCAATTCCACTAACTGGGCCAATTTCACTAAAATCCCAAGACACATTAATAAAAAAACCTCTCTAAGATAACACCATAAAGCAGCACAGCTTTCCATGGAACAGGGCTTTTCCCCCCTTGAAAAAAACAAAATCACCAAGAGAAAAATGAAAATGGTATGTATTTTTATTGCTCTGCTTTTTATTTGAACACTTAAAAAGGAGCCAGCTCTGCACTAAAAGCACTGGATATTCATCTCGTTGGGAAAGCCCTGTAACACACTGGGCACTTGCTCAGCTACCTGTCAGCTGCCACTTAGGACCAATGACTCAGGCTGAGGAGAAAAAGAAATGTGGAAAATTTTCAGTGTTAAAACACATCTTGTGAGAACAGGTTCGAGGTGAAAAACAAAGTGAGGGAGAGAGAAATCCAGTGCAGCCCTTCACCAGCCAATCTTTTTACTATGCCATGAGGTAAACCGATCATGCCTAAGGGGAAAAAAAAGAGTGAAAAAATAACCTTAAACTAATCCACTTCAAAAATGCAACCCTGTCCCATTTCATGGGATGTGGCCTTTGCTGATGGCATATCTCTACCTCAAATGACAGAAATTTGAGCATATCTGAAGGCTTCAATCTCCTGGACAGCAGCAAACAGTAAACCTAGGGGATTTTTGCCTCTGCAACAGCAGCCCCGCATGAGGAATTACTTTTCTTCTAACAGTCCTTGCTCCTAAAAGGCATTAGCAAGTCAAAGATGTAAGCGATAACCACCTGTAGCTCTTTAACACTATAACATGCTTGTACTGAACATTAAAAGCCCAATTTCCTTTCAATGCCTGTGTCATTTGGAGAATATTTGTGTCCAGTTCACCACCCACAACAGACCCTGTCTGTCACTTCTCAATTCTTACACATTTACATTTATTTCTCTTACACAAGACCCATGCCCTGGATTGTTTGTGACACAAAGAATGGCCTTGGTTGATTTTTTTTGTGAAGTTGCAAGATGTGCTTTGTACATAAGAGTCAATAAACAGCAGCCTGGAACCCTAAACAGTGACCCCGGAGAAGCTAGCAATGAATATCCACAATATTCTATTTTATTTCACAGGGTGATCAGCACTTGCCAATTAAGTTTGTTTTGAAGACTCATTCGAGAGGAGGTTCATCCTTCAATGTGTGAAGGCAGGAAATAAAGAGGCTCAATAGTGTGGGCTGAACAATCCTAAGCACAGTGAGGTGTGGCTGAGTGTTTCAGTTAGCAAAGCTACTTGAAGAGACAAGCAGTTTGCAAATACATGTAAATCATGAACCATGAATAACAGACAAGTGAAAGAATCATCTGAAAGGATCACAAAAGACAAGGATAAACCCCTTGCAGGGCTGAGGGGGAGGAAATCAGTGTCATTTAAGAAATTAGCTTCATGTGAAATTGCTGCAGACAAAAAGTTACTACTCCAATTTCCATGGCTGAAGTCACACACTGAAAAGTGTGAGGAACAGCTCTGTTGCCATGCCAAGTGCTGAGTTCTAAACACTGTAGCAAGACACTCGTTTCCAAACACACTCACTTCAATCAAAAGACCTTTGCAATATTTATGTTAAATTTTAAGGCTTCGCTTCTGCCCAAGCCACAAATGTTTTATTTAACTCTACTCAACTGCGAGCTATAAATCCAGATCATGTGCTATTACTTGTTCAATATTCAGCTTTGGAAGGGTTTTCTATAAGTAAAAGCACAATCAGCTGAGCTACTAGGGCTACCACACACCTTCCCTGACTGTTTCTTGACTATCTGTGCCAATGTGACGTGGTATCAGAGAAGCAAACTGCCAGCAGTGCTTACCTGAGCACATCTCCCCAATTCAGCCTTGCCCAGGTACTGAAATATCTTCAGTGCCAGCTCATAAGGCAGTTGGACATCAAAGAAAGGAACTTCATTGATTTCATTCTGAAAAGAAAAGAGAAAATAACTTGTGAGGCTTCTTTAACACACAGCAAAGGTTACCACAGTATGAAGAAAGGATGTCGTGTCCTCAGTGCCATCACAGCTCCACAAAAAGTCAGTAGTCATTCTGCTTCTCCTCCCTCTTATGGCACAGACCATACTAGACAAATGGACAGACCACACTGGCACAAAGGTACCTCAGCTACTCTTTGTTCCCTCTGAGTCAGGTAAAGAATATTAGAAGCCTAAGTGGAGCTGAAAAGCAAACTGAGGAGAACTGATATACAGTCTGGTGGCAGAGAAAGGCAAGACACAAGTTCTAATAAAACAGTTTCCCTAAGGTTTCTGTGTCCAAGAGACCCAACAAATACACTCCCTGAAGACATATGCCCATTATTAACTTCACTTACAGGATTTCAAACATAGGTGATAGAAAATGAGCAAATATTTTGATATAAAACCAAATGGAGATGATAGTTTGTTTCAGTCTTTCAGTTATAATACATAAATGCCTTTTCAATATGGAATGTGAAGAGTTGCTGCTTTAACTGATGAAATGTCTCACAAAAATTGAAAACCAAGAATCCGTCGTTTGAATCCAACAGCTATATGCAGCACAGATATTTTTCCTAGTTCTTTTTCACTTGTTCTAACTATGTAATTCCTAAACCTTCCTGCAGTACCACAACAAGATTTGACCTCATCCTGTCTGAATAGTCCAACTTTTTATATTGCATAATAGAGTGAAATCAGCCCATTCTGACCATTTCTTTGTCACCCACTTTGCTCTCTGGTCTCTTCTCCTGCTTTCTGTCCTTAGCAGGTGCTGCTGAACACCTGATCACCCTCCACCCATGCACAAAATCAGCTGCTCAGTTAAAACCTATCTCCATTGTTTGCCTTCAGGAAGTTAGGCAGATCCCAAAGCAGGATCATCTGGCACTTCCCTAGTCCCAATACCTTTGTTTCTCTGTAGGTCTCTTGTACAACTACTCCTCATTTAACCCTGGACCCTTTGCAGTAGCAAAGTAGAAAAAAGAGGCAATTCTGAGTTTATTTAAAGCAAAGTTACGCATGGAAATCAAAGCATAATGTGGTTGTGTGGAGGTTAAAACCAAAAGATATCCTACACTAGATAAGTGTTTAGGCAACACAAACATGGGCAACATTCCCACTAGGCCTTTTTAGCAACAAAACACCAGTTCATACACACTGGAACCTCACACTTGCACTAAAGTTACATAAACTAGGACCTGCAGCCAACCTTCCTGCTCTCCTCCCTCCTTATCCACAATTTTCCTGCACAAACAGCTCCTTTTCCTCTCCTTTCCCTCTGCATGAGCACCACTGGCTCCACTCCCTGCTGTGGATCCGAGGAGATTGTTTGCTTTCGTGTGATTTAAATCCCATCCATTTCCAAAGGGGACACCAAAGGAAAACACAAAGGGAACTCTGCGAGCACATCTCCATGGCCACATGCAGACAAGCTCCAAGCTGGCCAGATGTGAACCTGCTCGGATCCAGGAGCCACAGAACCATTCTGGAGCAACATACTGCCCAAACAAATAAGAGGAGCCATTGGGCAAGGATTATTAGCTCCAGGCTTATGAGCTCAGGCATGGCACCACGATGGATGTATCGCTTCCAAATGGGAGTTGACTCACTTCCAGCCAGCAGAACCTGGTCTGTCTGCATGGACACAGAGGTATCATCAGGAGGACTCACTGCCTGCAGACAGAGCAGGGCTGACAACAGGCAAGACCAACAGTGGTCTCAAGGAAAGGTGGGGAAAAGAAGGAAAAACAACTATACAGGGTCGTTTTTTCAACTGATCTGCCAGAGAATTTATATTGTGCTTTAAATAACACAGAGTTGCCTTTTTTTTCTGTTTGGGTACTGCAAAGAGTCCAGGTTTAAATGATAAGTCGTTGCAGATGAGACCTACAAAGAGACAAAGGTATTTGGGCTAGGGAAGTGGCAAGAGGCAGGGGATGATCCTGCTTTGGGATCTGCCTTTCTGAGGGCAAACGGTGCAGGCAACACAGAGCACAAGCTCATACCAATTCCACTCTAGTGCAATCCCAACACGACAGACAGACCAAGGTGCTCCCCCACCCCAACCTCAGCCTGTCCTCAGCACAGCACTCACTGCTGCACGTGGGGATGTTAAGTCAGCACCAGCCTGTCTAAAAGTCCACTGGAATGAATCCAAAACTCAGATACAACCAGCCCCTCTGAGACAGATTCGGGCTCCTGTGTGCTAATGGAGCACTAATTCTGTAAATGGATTAATTTGTGCCTTGCAGACAGAAATTTAATCTGCTCCTTTTAATTTTTTTAAGCAAAGAGTAATTAGTCACAGTGAGGTTAGCGAGAAACAAGAAAATGGGTTTCCCCCCTAGTTTTCCTACGCTGTAAATAAATTCTCTATGGCATTTAGAGGATTTACCAAAATAACTTTTATCTGGTTCAAAACTGTATTTAAGACTATTTCCAAATTAACTCCTTTATTCAAAAAATTAAACCTTGTTTTCTTACTAAGCAGCTGCGTCACAAGACAGGATATCCCCAACTACTGCACCATGCCCAAACAGCCTGAGCAAGCAACAAAACCATTTTAAAGAGGAAAAAAATACTGTTTCATAGTCATGGAACATCCTGAGTTGGAAGGGAGACACCAGGATCATAGATTCCAACTGCTGGCCCTGCACAGGACACCACAACAATCCACCATGTGCTCTTTCACAGGAAAAGCAGATTTGGGAGTGTTAAAACTTTGGGAGATTATATATATACATACATACATACATA